ACCCCAGGTCTGCTGGCAGAAATGCCATGCCTCTGGCAATAATGATGTACTCACTCAAGGAGGTCACCCCCACAGACTGCCGGCCTCCACTGGCCTCACTCCCTCTCACACGCCCAGGCCCAGGGCAGAACACAGCAAAGAGGTGGTCCTGAAGCCTGAGGGGAACAGAACTGAGACATTCTCTCCTCAGCTTCCAGAACAAGGGGCAGAGGCCTGGAGGGGGAAGGGCAGGAGGCGGGGGAGGGGGCCGACTAGCTTTCTGGAAACAAGAATTCAAATCCTGCTTCTCCCAAACCCTGAGTCACCTCGTTCTCTTCCAATAGATCAGTGAGGTGGGTAAACATTTCCATATATGGAGAAGCAGGCTGGAGGTTGTCAGAAAAATCACCCTTCTCTCCGGCACTTAAAGAACGTGCCTCATAAGGCAGATAGAACTTCCTCTGAGTAAATCATTAACCCCCACAAAAATGGAGTCCCAACTACTGCACACAGGAAACAGACTCCCAGTTCAGCAAAGGAAGTGACTAGCTGGAAAGCTTAAAGTTCACATTAAGAATGGGACCATCCAAAATGCTGCAATATAAAGAGCTAGCCTAGAATGGAAACAAATAACCAACAGTTATACAACTGATAAAGGATTAACATTTAGAATGTACAAAGAACTCAAAAAACGAAGCAACAACAAATCAAACCACCCAATCAGTAAATGGACTGAAGGAACGAACAGTTTTCAAAAACTGACATGCAGTCAATAAACCTATGAAAAGCCGTTTAATATCCTTTACCATGAGAGAAATGCAGACCTAAACTCCACTGAGAGTCTATCTTTCCCAGTCAAAATGACAATTGTTAAGAAAGTACCAATAAATGCAGGTGAGGATATGGATTAAAAAAAAAAGAAAAGAAAACGTATACACTGTTGGTAGAATAAAAACTAGTCTAGCCCCTATGAAAAGCAGTATGGGGGGTTCCTCAAAAAGCTAAAACTCAAATTACCACACGATCCAGCTATACCATTCCTATCAACATACCACAAAGATACAAACATCACACTGATGTTCAACATCAATGTCTATTGCAGCAACATTCACCATAACTAAGAAATCGAACCAGCCTAGAAGTCCAAGCACACAGGCATGGATTAAAAATGTAGTATTTGTACACAGTGAATTTCTTTTCAGCCATAAAAAAAGAATGAAGCTATCACATCTGCAGGAAAAAAAGATGCCCTGGACATAATCATAGTAAGTGCATCAAGCCAGTCTCGGGAAAATGTTATATGTTTTTCTCGCACTCGTGGTTCCTAGACTTTACATAGACATATAAACTCATTTATGTATGTATGACATGGAGTACAAGCTAACCTGGGAGGAGAATGGAACTAACTAGAGGTGGGACAGAGGAATAAGGGAAAGGTGGGGGAGGGGAGAATGTGCTCCACCTGAACACGGAATGCATACTGTGTGAAAACATATACAAAGAACATTTTAGGTTAAATTGAATAAAGAACCTATCAATATCTACACATAACAAGCATTTTTATTTTTAAAATGCCACAATATAAAATAAGTTAACAAGCTTATTAACTTGGGAAAAGATAGCATCTTCAGTGGTATGCCTGCACAAAAGAACCTGAATCATGTTAAGCACAGGTACTAAAACAATTCTTCTCAGACTTCCAGGCTGGATGGGGGAGGGGGGCTAGGAACTATTTAGCATGATTCTTCATGGAACAAACATCAGGATCAAAAATGCCATACTATTGGCAGAGCATAGTTGTTGGGTGAGGTAAGGCAAATTAGTCGGTTTAACTTATAAAATTATTTCTTTTTTAATTTATTTTACTTTACATATACAAATGTTTTGCCTGCAAGTATTAAAATGCAGAGGTCAGAAAAAGGGGTTGGATCCCTAGAACCAGAGTTAAGGATGATTGTTACCCGCCATGTGGGTGGCTGGGAACCGAACCCAGGTCCTCTGCAAGAGTAGTTAGTGTTCTTAACTGTTGAGCCATCTCTCCAGACCCCTGTAAAATTATTTCTAACCCAAAAGTCCTATAAAATGTTTTATAACTGAGTTGGACTAGTAAAGTCAATCAGGAATGAATAGGGTCTAAAGTGACTGAAGACTGAGACAGAACCAGAGAAAGACATGAGATCTGGGAGGAAATGGAGGTGCAAGGCAGCAGGGAACTGCTCAGAGAAGGAAATCCAACTACCATACCTTAGCTCCCCAGTGGCTCAATGTCTTGGTGTGGTCTTGTTTACAGTTGGTTGTGAAGCTACAAACAGCACTGGTCAGGGAGTTATAGGACTCAAGCCTTAAGCCCAAACCAGTCACTCATGATTGGACAATGTTGCGCAAGTTGGTTCTCTTGCAGTGGCTTACATTTTTTTATCTACAAATTGGGCAGCTAGCCCAAAATCATCCAACTATGTGCTCTAAAAAGAAGTTTCTGCTTGTTCAGTCCAAGTAGTCTTTCCACACTTATTTTGACAACTTGTTTATAGTTTAACAAATATGACAAAGCAAATATTTATTATGTGTTTTATAAATGAACACAAATATAAGTGACCATGAAAATAGGTAGTAGGACCAACACACCAGAACCAGAGCTCAGCACACAGTTCCCACCACTGCAGCCTGCAAGGGAAAGGACATAGTTCACAGAAAATGCTACCAAGGGATGGGCTGGGAGCCTCCAAGACAAAGGTCCCAGCATTGAGGATAAATAGGAAAATCAGAACGAAAAACTCAAATTTACTCTCCATTTTGCACACAATATTTGGAAGCCAATCTCCCATCTGCTAAGGGACATCAAATTTCCTTCATATATGTGTTCTCCCTTGCTCGCAGCCGCTGAGCACCTCTGTCCCGGGCCTAACTGCTCCTGAATCCCCCCATAGCATCCCTGAGGTCTCCCATCAGGCAGAGATCTTATCTCCTTCTGCTACTAACTCCATATTCACACAAGATTTCCTTATAAGGAACCAAAATCTGGCTCCCTGGCCTTCAACCTCTTGCCCACATGTCAACCAATGCTTGTCTCATTGGTTTGGAATTTTTGTAGGTGACTGTGTATACAGAAACGAAGCTATCCAAGACCTCAGCCCACAATCGGTCCGCTGTTCTGACCACAGCACACTGCTGACTTTTCATACAACTTTTGCCAACTTGAAATCCATTCTTTTTGGGGTTTTCCAATGTGTTACAAAGTAACCAATTCAGCATGTGCATTGCAAGTCTGTGGACTCAAAGGAAGGATCCTATAAAACCAGTCAGATAAAGAGTGTGTGTGTGTGTGTGTGTGTGTGCGCGCGCGCGTGAACACGCATGTGCCTGTGTTTTATCGAGGACTGAATCAAGGACCTTGGGCATACTAGACAAGTGCTCCACCACTGAACTGCATCTCTAGCCCTCGTTTTACTTTTTGAGACAGTGTCACTAAGTTGCCTAGGCTGAGCTTGAACTTAATTCTGTAGCCCAAGCAGGCCTTAAACTTAAGATCTGCCTGCGTCAGACTTCATAGTAGCTGGGCTTCCAGTCCTGCATGACCAGGCCCAGTGGGTGAACTTCTTTAGTTCAATGAGATTCTAGAGGAAATTGTCCACCTCCACCCTACCGCCCTTGTCACATTCCCACCCTTTAGTGGATAAAGCTCGGGATTCGGATCCCATTCCTTAGTGCTAGAAGCCAGTCCCACCAGACCCCAAACTGTCCCTTGGATACTCCCAAAGCTTGCTCCCAAAGAACATTAAGACTGAGCCCTGCAGGAAACGAAGGTCAGCACAGTTCTCAGAATAACAATACAGGGCAGCAAGGTCAGTTTGTTCATCACAGGGTTGGAAGGCCATGAGCCCTGACAATTCTAGCACCTCAGAGATGTTTTTTAAGGTAGGACGGAGGGAGGAGTACTCTTTTCATCCATAGTTCAAATGCACTACTTGAATTCAAGGTTCATGTAGTAAAAACAATGATACTTCACAGTAATAGTGTGTTCCACCATGCATTAAATGCTTTCCCAGACAGTCTCATTTAAGCCCTACTCACAACTGCCTGTGCAAGTAATACAACACTCAGTGCGCCAAGAGGAAAACAGAGGCTCTGAGAGGGCAAATGTATTCCCGAGGCCATGCCAACAGAAAGGTCAAAGGATCATGAGGCCTTGAGATTCCAGTTCTTATTCTGCTCCAGACCAACTATGTGACCTCTGCCTAAACTGTTTACCTTTTCTAAGCCTCAGTTTCTACACCTGAAAATTAAAGATTAAAGCAGTGGCTCTGCTTCCCTCTCAGAGCAGTTATAAGGATCAAATGAGAGAATGAGAGTAAAAGCCCTCTGGAAAAGGGGAAGGCATTATAAATGTGTAAGGGATTATTGTGTGATTACTTGTAAATGACTATGCATTCCATTACAAATACAAAAGGCAGTGAGGTCATTCACAAAACAAAGAAACGCTAGGCCTTGGGAATTAAGGGAGAAAGATTTTGTGTTCTATAGAGTTATGTCTACATGCTGCTCACACTTGCAGTTCAAAGCTCAGCAGCAGCTGTCAGCCTTTCAAACTCCAAGACACACAGGTCTACAGGACAGCTCAACACAAAATCTCCCTTTTCAGTTAAAAACAAATGCTGGACGAAAAGGGGGTAATAGAGATGAATGTTTGGAAGACCCCTGAGACTCCAGTTCCGGAAACGTGGCCTTCGATGTTTTCCTTGGAGCAGTTGTTAGAAACAGAGGCTCCAGTCTCACTGAGATAAGCCCATGGGGAAATAAATGTGCAGTAAGGAGCCATTTACCAAAGAGCACCGAGGAAGCATCCAAGCATGAATTAATCAAGGGCACAAGATATTTCAAGTTGCAGATACCAAAATGACAGGGATCTCCAACCCATTAAACCTCTCAGTCCAGCTCATAAAGGCTCCACCTGTAATTCTGGCATCCCAAACAGCCTGCAGCCAGCCTCAGGGTGAGACAACAGATCAGGTTCCTTTACATACCAGAAGTCTTGCTGGAGATCACCCTGGCCAGGGGGTCCCAAGCTGCTGAGTCTCAGGTCTGCCTCCCTGTCAAGCCTCTCCCAACACACTAGTTGTCAGGATTCTGTTCGGGTCCTGCAAAGAAAAAAGTCCTCACTGTCATGTATGGAGTGACTGTATATTCCCCAGAAATCCATCCCCGAAGCTGATGAGCAAAAAGCTCAGTGCTTGAATATTTTCTCGTTTGTCTTTTGTCATCTCCTAGATTTCCTTCCCAATGACTGGGTTAGATGTAGGATGGAGTATTAAAAGAGGTTGGGGCAGAAAACAGCCATGAAGGTGCAAAGAAAAATCTAGATAAAAGGAAAGGTTTGAACCAAACAGTAAGAAGATATGCCTAGAGCAAGTTACAGGGTATACAGGCCACTGGTAAAGATGTCCAGAGAGGTGGTAATAAACAGAGGTAACTCAGAAAGGTGAGTGAAAACAACTGTTATGGGCTAAAAGCAGAGTGGGTTTTTGTTTTTGTTTTATTTTTTGTGTTAGCTTTTGTTTCTGAAAAGCAAAGCTCTGATCATACCAATGATGAAATTATTTGTCAGTTTGGTTGTAAGCCTAAACCTTTAACTTCTGCACCAGCTCTTCAGCCCCAAAGATGATGTTTTTAAAAAAATAAGTTCTTAGACTGGAGAGGTGGCTCAGCGGTTAAGAGCACTGACTGCTCTTACAGGGGACCCAGGTTCGAGTCCCAGCACCCACATGGCAACTATGAACTGTCCTTAACTCCAGTTCCAGGGGAATCCGAAGCCCTCTTCTGACCTCCGTGGCATTGCACAACATGGGTGCACTCATATACATGCAGGCATATATTCATACACATAAAATAAAAATAATAAAATATAAAAAACAATAAGTTCTTTGGCTCCTACTGCCAAATACTAGTAGCAATAACTATAATGGGATGACAGTTAACTGTCAGGCATTGTACTAAGAAGGTTTTATAGACACATAACCGTGTGTATGGAATAGGTATATGTATACATTACCTCAAATAACCTATGAGCTAGGAATAGGTATGTATATGCATTATCTCATTTAACTATAGTAACAACCCTATGAGCTAGGCACTTTTGCCCCAATATTATAGAGAAGGAAATAAAGACAAAATAAAATGTTCAAAACTCAGAGATGGCAAATACAAGAAGTCAGTACTAACTTATTCTCAGTACAGCCTTAAACTCTAGACTATCTTGCCCTATCACTACCTTCTTTCCTATTGAGCAGACTCTACCCTTCTCACATCTATGAAGTGATATACACTCCACACAACAAACATGCATACTAATATATAGCATAGTTATCTTCCAAAGTAGTTGAGAACAGTTTTGTTATCAGTAACACTGCAAAGAGAACACTCATTGTGTGTACTTAGATACACACTGTCTTAGAAGGTTGTGCCATAAAGGTAATAAAATACTGGCCTATATATTACATTTCTCTGCTTCCTAGACAGGAATTAAAACAATCTAAGCAAGGGTGCCTGGGTCCAAAGGGAAGACCTAGCCAGGTTGATAGACACAGTTCAAGGTCAGTGTGAACAGGACAGCCTGAGGGTTCTGCAGCCACTCCTAGTGCTAAAGGACCCTGAACCTCCAGCTGCAGCTCCAAAGGCCTCACGGGGACGGGCAAGTCAAATATTTCCTTGAAAAAGGAAAACAGTCATGCCCCACCAAAATACAAATATGAGTTAAAAGAGCTGCTTTCAACAAAGTGTCAGAGACTCAAGGAAGGGCCAGACTGGGAGTATCTAACCCTGGGACCCTCACAGCTTGCAGCTATGCTAAGCCACTGTTTTGTGGCCTTCCTAAAGAGTTGTTAGGCTACCACAGTAGTTTTCAACCTTTTATCTAGCAGCAGAACTTTTCCTCTAAGTGAATGCTTTGAGGCATTTAGCTTATAAAATAGGGAAAACCAAAGCCACCAGCAGGCTTCAGCCCTCCCGCTCCCCCTCTACTTCCTCCAGCTTCTCTGTTCTTTCCGATCCCAACTCCAAGGCCACAGTGGAGTTTCCTAAGGTTAGATGAGAATGGCTGAGAACAGCTAGAAAACTGTAAGTCACCTGAGCTTTTTAAATTACTCTCTAGCTCTGACTTCTGTAACTTCCAGGTCTGAGAGGAACCTCTTTAAGAGCTTTGCACTTTTACTTGTGTAAAGGCAATATTCAATATGTACAGTGTATAGCACAGGAAAAAGAAGTCTCAAATTAAAAATTTGGGCAAGAATCCATCTAGGACCTGCGTTTTCTAAACCCCATTTTCTCATCTGCAAAAGGGAAAATATTATTGTAGATCTAAAATGGCTTTTATGAAAATGAATTAGTTCAATGAGTTATTCAGCAGAATACTATAATAAACGCTATACCATGATTATCCCATCCATAAATGGAAAAGCACATAACCATATCCAGGGTGCACGCCCTGTGGACGTGTTCTTATGAACATGTTCGACCCAAACAAACAGAATGACAGCAGTAAAAAACAGTGTGAGAGAGGCAGAGAAATACAGGAGCTGAAGGATGGGGTGGGGAGCTGTGAAATGCTGTGCTCTGGACGTGACAGGGCCATTGCACTCATTAACTCACACCATCAATGGCTACTTGCATAAGACTTGCACAAAATCAAGCCAGCCAAAAATCCAACACAGATGGGGGAAATGATATTCAGTTCCCAGCCTTTAGGGGAGCTACTGGCAACTGATAGCGGCTAGAGAAGGGAGAATCATTCTTCTGTGAGAGTATGGTCACTAGGAAGTTTCCAGTGCTCTAGTGGCTGCCCCATATCCATCCACATATGGGTAGCACTAAATGGACTTAGTAGATTATAAAATTTTTTTTAAAAAAAACAACATATCCTAGTTAGATAAGGGAAGTGTTAGGGATACAGGTGAAGTTGAGGGGAGGATGTTCATGATCATATTTCACTGCATACAAACAGTATGCACAAAATGCTCAAAAAATGAAAAAAAGTAGTTTGAGAAACACACTTGATGCCCCAAATTCTCTAACAGCTCAACTTATTTTTGAAAATCTTAAGTTTGTCTCTGGAATCTTTGAAACTTGTGGTCATCTTAGAATTCCGGAGATGATAAGATAGTCAAGGGTGCAAAATAAATAAATAAATAAAGTCTGGAAAAAAAATTAAAAAAAAATACTGCTCCAAAACACAGGAACAGAAGAAGTATTAGTCTTTATATCTCAGCCTCCTTTCCAGACAACCAACTGAGTAGCCTGAAAATTTCCATCTGTCATCTGACTTCACTTTCCTTGTTTGTGAAGATGGGGTTAAGAACAACCCCACCTTCCTCTTAACTAAGATGCTGTACAGAACAAAGTAGTCACTGAGTACATGATCTTCTTCCCGTACAATGCACACATGACCCCCTGGGAATGTTCTGACTAGAGTGTGGCCAGCAATATCTTCACTTAACTAACTTTTCACCAAATATGATCCCACCAATCAACTACCAGTCCATAAACATCCACATCTAAACAAAAAGACTTTCTGTATTTCTTTGTAGTGACAAAGCTTTTCACACGCCTCACTTTTTAAATTGTCACTTGTCAGATATAGTCATGGTGCCCATCTTACAAATCACATGCCACCCTTTGGCTCCACAGCCTGTGCACATTGAACTCTTTCCACCATAGCAGGGTACAATTAAAATCCTTCTAGAAAGGGTGCAGTGATGGCCCAAGGCCAGCTCACTACAGGCCCCTAGGCAAATCACTTTCCTTCCTTGAACCACAATTTCTTCATCCAAAAAATATTTATTAAGTCATCCTACAAATCTGCATGCCCCTTTCCTTCCCCAAGAAAGATGTTGGGAATGAGACCATAGAGAAACAAGGTGTCACCTTACATGCTGTACATATTTCATCAGTTTCATCCGTGAGCTTCCCTGCCCAACCTTCAAAGTCATGGAAGAAGGAAGAAGGATTAATCAGAATGTCAAATAATCCAGTGGGAAGTACAGAACAGCACAGGGAATTCCATGTAGCTGCCATCATCATGTGGACTAGCAAGTCACTCCCCAGAACAACTGCAGCCATAGTCACAGCACATGCACCCCATCAGCAAATTGCTGGTTTGATTGGCATTTAATAATAAGCTCAAGATGCAAGAACATCAACACGAAGGACACAGTATGTTCCTGGCATGCATCATGGCTTGAGGGCTCCACAAGGGAGAAGGGGAAAAACGCCACTTTCCTGCAAGACTCTTACGAGATCCACTTCTCTCTTCAGTGTAGGTACCTATGGCTGCTACCTGGCCACCACATTATCCATGTAGCAGGCCAGTATGCCCCATGTTTAGTCTACAAAAATCCAAAACTGACTGCCAGACTCTCCCAGGACCACAAGATCTAGACCTGGTAAAAGACAGATAATATCTAAACCAATTCCTGGAAACCATGACTTGTCTGGGCCGTTCATTCACTCAAAAACGTCACAGATGTTTGTTTGCACAGTACATAGCAGTAAGGTAAAGTAGGTCTGTGCTCTTAAGGACCTTGCTCCAGTAGCTTAAGTGGTGTTCTAATGACAACACAGTAAGTCTCAGGATTTTATTTAATAGCCCAAGTCTCTCCATAACCCATACTCAAGCTTCTATTCCCAGGGTAAACTTCTCCCACTGCCACCCAGCACACATTCTTGCTTTAGAGGGAACTCTGGGATTATGTGGTCCCCTGTGACCCCGGTAGTCCCCAGTCCAAACGGCCACATTCTACGAATCCCTCAAGGCATATTGGTAATTTTCAACAGGATTGTCTTTTAGAGAAAGTCAGCTATTTATCTGCAGCATCTCCTGTATCATAGGCTATCTAGCACCCTTAGCTATGACCTCTAAATACCAATGGTGACCATGTCTCCAGGGAATAGGACAATAAACACTCCACTACATGTTCGGATTTCCTTAAAAAGTTGGTACTACCTCCAACTCCGAATTACTGGTCTGCAAAACCCGCTCATTCCTATACTTGTCAGAATGAGCATCCTCCCTACATTTGGCCGTCTGCTCTCTAGAGTATCAATCATGATCTTGTACTATTCTTACTAAACACTTGACTTACTTATT